TCAGTTCAATTACACACACATTGTTGCCGTCACTTTGTGACCGTCTTATATATACAAGACTACACTATATCTTGAAGGATCCCGATTTAAGGAAGGAACGTGAATGTTCGAGAAGGACGTGGCGTGATACTAGTCACGTGACCTCCGCTAACGCAACAGTATGTTAAAGCTGTAATATGTTTGTGTATATACTTTCTATATTAATTTTAACTTGCTTACACACCTCATTGCCTGAAGGTTTTAAACACTAGTTTTTTACATAAAAGTATATGTAATTTTTTTTTACAAATGAAAACAAAGTTGTTTACTGTTTTATCGGTAACATACCTAGTATGTAATTAATTTAAATATTCAATAATTCCTTTTTTATTCATGAAATGTTCATTGTTGTTAATACTGAATTTCTTTAGGTATGATATGCATTTTTAATGCTATTTGCCCATTTTCCAAATATAATTACTTTTAAGATCTATTTTTTCATTCTATTTGAGTCAAACTTTACTGAGTGATTTACTAATTAGTTGTTCAGTGCAATTCCCTTAGTAAATTTAATATTTAAAACTGTGTACGGCATCATTTAATTATGATTTTACAATGTTGTTAAACATACAATTTCAGTTATTACAATCTACACATGTAGAACTTCAAAATTTATAAAGGCACTTTTTTCTTAAATATTAGAAATAAATCAAATATTATTTTTGAAAACTTATGGATGCAACTTTTAAAAAAATCCATAGAACAACGTAAGGGTTATTCTAGTTTTGTTCTTTCACAAAATATCAAAACAACTACATAACTAGGCCCAAATACATCCATGTGTGAGGATTATTTTTGTTTTTGCAATATATTAACAAAACTGTGTAACTAGTCCCCATAAACTTTACAGAATAATATCATGTTCAATTTACTTTTTAATAAAACAAAAGACATCAACACAAATTCCAAAATTGGTAACGGTAATCTTCTCTATTTTTATTGGCATTATCTTCTTTTAAATAATCTCAAATGAATTTCATTCTTACAGTACAAGATCTTTATATAACTTTTGACAAAATCCGACATAAATCCAGTTGGCAGTGAACGTTATACTCTAGGGATTATTGTTCTTATTCAAGATTTTTTAGCTTCGGGGCAAATTTAAGTTTTGGACAAACTTTAATTTGGTACATAGGAATTCCACCTAAGTTAAATAAAAACATCTAATACTGCATTCCTTCCTTTAACCAACCGAGGTCCTTAAATAATTCTAAAAAAGTAGTTTAAGTTTTGCTACCACCCACTAATCATGGCCTTTGGTTTACATGCTTGATTATATGACACATGCTGAACAAGTGCAGATTTACATGTTGTATCAGGAATGGTACAGAGGTTATAGGAACAAGTAGTTGTGTAGTATCGAGGCACAATTCACCAGACATAACTGTAAATCCAGTTATGCAATATAAACAGGTTATTAAGATATTTTGTCTTCAAAATCATAACAGGGGTGCTTACAGGGACAAGGGGCACTTAAAGGGAGAAATATGGTACATCTGTTTGTTTACTGTTAAGGAAAAAGCTATACAATGGATTATCTGTGCTGTGCCCACCACAGGTATCGAAATGTGTTTTTAAATGTTATAAGTCATCAGATTTAACACTGAGCCACTATGGGGCAACTGCAATAAGTAACAAAAAAAACCTGCAAAACATTTTTAGTGTCTCAGAAAACAAACACATGATAAAAAGAGTGATAATAATAATCAATTTAATCTGACATTTCAATAGTAATTTATTTAGTAATTTCAGTAAAAATGTTATACTACACTGGTGAATACTAGTAAAATCCCTACAAAATAAAAAAGGGAAAAATTTAAAAAAAAAGAGTAAATTATTTTTCTTACATGCATGGAATTTAAACAATTTCTTTGTTAAGAAAAACAAGCCTACACTAAATACTGGTTTAATTTCATGAAGCTTTAAGCATTCTAACATAAAGGACTAATTAATTAAAAATGAACCATGAATTAAATCTTACCAAATGATTTTTTCCTTAGTACTGAAAACAATTTAATCCAAAAATATATCTTTTAATTAAATTCTTATTCCACAACATTTGTTTAATGTAATTAAAAAATTTTTCAATCTAATGTATTTTGATACATACATGTAAAACACCTTCAAAATTTCATATTTGTAAAACTGAAAAAAATGGAACAGATATTTTTTCTCTCCCATTTAATTCTGTCAATTCAATTATTACAAGGCTCTCTGCCACTATGACTCCACAGTCTTGTAATAGCTGAACAGCTGCTTGCATGGTTCCTAGTGCAAAAAATTATTTATATTCAAAGAATGAAACAAATACTAGTTAAATGCTAAATGAAACCAAAAATTATTCAGAGTGAATAAGAAATTTCCTATTCACCTCAATAAAGTCAGTAAAATTTCAAGAACCTTTTTACTCAAGTCCATGCAACACCAACAAATGCATAAAACTTAAACTTACCACAAGGAGGAATAACACAAATATGTTTATTGTACACTCTAAAGTGGAAGATAAAATTTATATTTAAAAAAATGAAATTTTGAATTATTTTACCAAATTTTTTATAACAGTTGTTACAAAAACAATAACATATTTGAATAATACTGTTTTAAAATTATGAACCATTTATCAAATTATAAATGAAAACGTGTTTCATAATTACACTGAAGCATCAACTTCATTGCTAACATTTCTATTTATATTCATCAGGGTTCAAAGTTAAAGCATTATTTGAGGTAGTAGCAATTTACTGATAACTTAAAATACAGCACTGCAAGTGCATGTAGTGGGCAACAATTTAAGTTTAGTACTCTCCCATGGAAACACCCAGGAGGTTCACATTTACGGTGCATTAGTAACGTGGATAAAATTTCAAGGAATAAAGTTTATTTTATATATCATACATAAAATTATACAACTGTATTAACATTTTGTAATATATCTTGATTACCACTCCCGTCCATACTAAAAATGAATATACATTAATTACAAAGCTAGATATTACCTTATCGGAATTCTTACAATGGAAAAAAAATAGTGAAGCAAGTATCATAGCTAACTATATCATCAAGATCCAAGTAACGTTTGTATTAAACAGAAGTAATAAATGAAAACATGAGAAATTCAGTGACTTCTACATTTGTTTAATCTATCTTTTGTAACATATCCTAGTACTTTAACTGCATACTGAATATAAATATTTTTTAACAAATGAAATCTACTTTCAGGAAGAGCCCTCAAGACAGCATGTGCATAACACCGACAGAATATTTTATAAGACAAAAACCAACATTTTTTTTTAACTTGGTCAATTTCTCTTATTCAACTTTACTTCTTACTAGACACTGTACAAATTGCATCAGTATATTTCTGTAAAATTGTACCGATTTAAAATGTGAGATGAAAGGTTTGAAACAATGGCTAAGTGAAATGAGTGAAAAGGCAAGGTACTAATTTAATACGTATGAATTTTACAGCAATTTGTAGCTAAATTAAGCAAATTTTGAGTGCTTTAACCAATCAAAGCAACCTATGTACTTAGAGTAAAACTAAAAATCAATGAACTTGCCTAGCTTAGTACAGCACAGAGTTGCACAAGTCTTTTATATGTAGTAGTGCTATTCTAGAATCTATTTTTGACACAGCTCAATGAAATTGTAAGGTAATCAAAGAGAATGGATCAGTAACTTGAGTTACTCTTAATTTGAAGAATATTATTTATAGAACATTGGTTTCATCTGCAATATTTAGTACACATTTTGTTCTTTTTTTACTGTACTTTCAATGACAATGAAATGTAAATATTATAGGCCTAATCATATTTTTAGTATATGTAAAAAGTACTCTGCCAGGTTCATTCACAGTTAAGCACAAGATAGTTTCAAGAAATAGAGTATACTATGTAGTAATGTGAGTTATCCAATCCCTTTAAAACAGCAGTTGAAATGTTCCTTTTTTTGAATACATATTTTCATATATTAGAGAATAAGATCATTCTGCTAGCAACCTTGACAGGCACCAAATTCTCACTACTGCCTTAAAAAGTTAACTGCTACCCCTGATAATCATTTTTATTAACTATAATTTAAATGGTTAAATCAATAACCATATTTATGTACTTTTTAAAATCATGTACCACATGCACATATAATTTAATTCATTTTTTATAATGTCATTCAAACATTTTGTCATTTTTGTTGTGCCTCACACATATATATGTATTTACCTATCTTGCATTACATATAAATAAAAAACAAATGAGTTGTTATGTAAAATTCTACTCCTGACTGTGCTTTGCATAGGCTTACCAATGATAAAAATATGTTTCTAAGGTGATAGTTTTCTTACATTGAGAAACTATAATTAATCTTCATTTCTATAGGTGATGGATATAATAATATTAATAAGCTCATATCCAAAAATCTGTATGTTATTTCTCAAGGAAGCTGAGAGCATTCTAAAATGTTTTTAGCGATATCTGGTTACAACATTTGTTAGTTCATGGTAATTTTTCCTTACATCAACATAATTCACAGAAGTAGTACTTTATGTGAAAATGGTTTAAAACATCATGCTGATTTTGTCATTACAGTTTTGTTATGAAGTAGCCAACATATGTTTTATGCAAGTATAGAAAGAACATCACATAATATTTTAAGGTTATGAATCTAAAATTTCTTTCAATATAACACTTTTCTTGACACTTTGTAAAAGTTTATTCCAACTGGCAATAGCCAAGAAGTGCATGCATGCTGAGTTTTTTACACAATGAAAAAAAAACTTATAATTTTCTACAAAATAACTGAAAATACTAAACTTGCAGTTATGAATTACTGAAATTTTATTTGAAATTCAAGAAAGCAAATGCTAGCTTGTTGTAACACACTTATATAAAATAACAGGTACATGTAGAAAATATACATTGCTCTCTCTCTCTCCTTAATCTTTCTAATACACATCTCCTGGAAATTGTATTACTTTTGGTGAAGGTTTCACTACATGTGTAACTCATTTCTGGCACAGAATAATTGTTCCATTATCAATTATTGTTATTCATCTAACTTCTTTGGCTTTATAAACAAAAAAAACTCAATAGAAATAATATACAGATAATTCCCTAATATTACCTACAATTTCAAAATTTAAAAGAAATATGGAATATGTGCTGTTTGAGTTAGCTACTGTTCACATAACACCAGAGAGACAAATATTTTGTGATATGCAGTTGAACTAGCAAACTTTTATTTAAAAAATAACTTTTTAATACTGTTTAAGTTCATCTTTATGATAATTGCAAATTAAATTATTTTTATCTTAGTATTTTGTGCATTATCAAAGGACTTGCTCAGCATAAAATGTCTATGAAGTTGGCTCTCTCTCATAGTGAGTACATATTCACAAGCCACCCTAAATTGTTAATACTGTCATTAGTTTTATTTCTACTTTTTTCAAAACAGAAATAAACTCAAATTAGGGAGCAATTTCATGCTACCCCCCCAAAAAAGTTGAAATTATTAGATTGATAATACCAATAGTTAATGGTTAATACTTCACTTGTACTCCTTTTATTAAGAAATCAGAAAAAAAACATTTGGAGGAGAGGCATTTCACACTGCTCCTTTCCAAATTTGAAAGTAATACTTTTGATAAATGTTTTTACCCTTTTCTGTTACTATCACTTTCCTTATTCAGAAATCTTAAAAATTTTTGTCATGACCAACTTAAGTTGAAATTAATACTTTTGAGTTTAAATGAAATACTAACTTTTTTCTAAGTTAACAGACTTCGATAATTCCTGTTAACTTTAACAATAGCTTTCTGGATTTCAATTTGTTTCAATACTTCAATACACTAGTGACCTCCATTTTAACTGTCACGTCCTTGAAATATGAGCACTTTACATTTACTGATTATTAATTTCTCTTATTTAACCATTTAGGAATAGGTTTTTAGCTATAATATCAGATTATAGAAGGTTTATAGTACTTTTATTTATGTCTCATTGAGATTGCAACCTAATTTTTCTCAATTTCTAAAATTTGGCTTCTTAAAAATAAGTGTTGTGACTTATTAATTCTACAATTGTATACATCACACAACAGTGTTTAGGTACGTACTTCTAGTAGCTACTAGAATTATATCTGGTTTAAAAAATTTGAGCCACAAACGAAGCATAAAGATTTTTAGTCTTAATTTCTTTAGAGAATAGAAAAACTAAAGGTAACTTGATTCAAGCACTTAACTTAGGCCTTGAATTATTTGCCTGTTGGTAGTCTGAATAGGAGACTTGAAAAGGATGGAAATACAAACAGTCACATCCAGGATACTGAATTTGAGCCTTTACAATGCTTAACCAAAACTGCTTTATGAAATTTTTTTGTTCCAGTAATAAATTTTTGGAGATGTTTTGTCTGATGATGTGCCGTTATTTTGAGTTTATTTAAACTTTTATCGGATATGTATATGAATGTGAAAGGCTATATTTACTTTGATGTTGATGGTCTATTTTGTTCTTTTAGTGGGTGGAAAGGTGCCCTTGTTATTTCTTATTTATATATATTTATATATATATAATAGCCACAGTAAAAATTTATAAAATTAATATGTGCACCACCAACAAGAAGATTTAAACGTGTAATTTCAGTACCTGAAATGTCATTCACAAGATTACAGCTTGATATATCAACCAAGAAATTTGAAATACATACCTCCACTGGCTAAAAGGTCATCTATTATAATTACTTCTTCACCATAGTTAAGAGCTTCTGTCTGAATCTCAAACGAATCCTGGAAAAAAAGTCCATTGAAATTAATGTTTTCTATTATTATATTATGAAATTTTGTTTCTTTGTACAAAGAGTTTGGAAATTGTCACTTACCATTCCATATTCCAGAGAATAGGACACTTTCCTTACTGATCCGGGAAGCTTTCCTACTTTCCGGATAGGAACAAAAGGAACTTTTAACTTCAAGGCAATAACTGGACCCAAAAGAAATCCTCGAGCCTCAAGACCAACCACAGCTTTCACTCCTGGCACTTTTTCGTGTATTTTATCACATAAATAATCAGTTAAATCATCAAACAACTCAGGCTTTCTAAGGACTGGAAGTAGGTCTCTGCCAGATAAAAACAAATTTAAGCATATATTCTGTGAAATATGAAACCATAAACAGATCTAGGTTGAAAACAATATTGTTTACTAGTGTAACCAAATTAAACAAACTAGAAATATTACATTCACTTAAATAAATGGACTTGGGCAATACTTTAATGTTTGTATCACATCCTTCACCTATTAAACTCACCAATTAAAACATCAATACCAAGTTACATGTAGCCCTTCATATTTATATATATATCCATCCAATAAATGTTTAAGACATTAAACTAATTTCATACCAAAACAATCATGCAAACCATTCTATAATTCTACAAGTAAAGATAAAACATTTTAAAAAACATAGTAAACGTATGGATGGCTAAGATCAATCCTTCAAAAACAATGCAAACCAGATAGTAGCAATGCCATTTGCGTCATCCCTACACAATATCACAGGCACACAGTGTAGAATAATGTTAACAGACAAAAATAGGATAAATTCAATTGTGACTAAATATTTATACATATTGCTATATGTTAATTCTTGCCTGTGCTATTATGTACGGATGATGCAAATACCATCCCAATTATCTCGTTTGCATCGTTTCTGAAGGATTGATATTATTATTATCCGTCCATACACTTAGTATATCCTTCTTTTTTGAAAAGTTATTCTTTATTTGTTTTTTAATGCAGTGTTTCAATAGACATAGGAGGGTTGTATTTATAACTAAGTTTTAAATACAATGAGGTTCCAACTATAAGTTAGTTGAAGTTGAACATGTATTTCAATTATTTGAGAAATATTTATATATTCATATAATACGAGACTTACCGAAAGATAATCCCTTTTTTGGGAAAATTATGATAAGACTGTATTGCGTCACGAACTCTTTCAGTAATATCGTCATGACCCATTTTTAAATTAAAATACTTTTATGGTTAGTATTAATAAATACTTATGATAAATCGATGACGAAAGATCGTTATTAACTAATTACTACACATTTTAGTATTGTTCTTTGGCGCCATCTATAAATCTAATATAAATACTCACTTTCAAAGCAGAAAAAAATGGAATTGGAAATAAATAATTAAACTTAGAGACGTTGCTATAAGTTTTATTATAATCAAAATCACTTGTAAACGTTTGGGTATTTGCATATGTAATCTTCTTTAAAAATATTTTGGTTTTGTTTTTAGAAAGAAACGCATATGCATATGGACGACCTACCGCTAATTATATTTCAGCAAACTCTCCCCTCCCACCGGTAACTCAACGGAAAGTCTGAGGGCTTACAACGTTAACATCGCGGTAGACAGACCTCAGATAGCCCATTGTGCGCCCCCCCTAGTGGCACAGTGGTATTTCTGCGGACTTACAACGCTAAAATACGGGTTTCGATACCCGTGGTGGGCAGAGCACAGATAGCCCATTGTGTAGCTTTGACCTTCACAACAAAAAACAAAGAAAAAACGAATAGCTAATATGAACAAGAGAACATTCAACTTATTAACATTATCAACCAGTTTAATCATTATCTAATTGAAACGCAAAATAAAGAATCTTTCTTTTAATAACTTTTTTGAAATGAAACTTAAAACATAAGCTACCAGCATGAATCATTTAAATTAAAAAACGTGTCTGCGACTAATATACGAATTTACACTTCTCATTCCAAGACTCTAGGATTAAAAACGACTTCCCTTGGTTCTGCTCATATTTTATACCACTTAACTATTTGAATTAAATCACACCTTCATTTGTTTTTTTTTTTTCAAGAGAAAGCCTCCTAATTTCTTAAATTTTGTTTTGACTTCAAAGCTCATGGCATTTTAACTTAAAATCGTTAAGATGGCCCTTTTGTGCATTTTCTATAACTTGTCTGTAACTGGCTTCTATAGAAATATCGACAGTTATGAGCTACCTCGTGAAACAATATTTAACGCATTTTTTGAATCAGTATTTGTAAATTAATATTTTAATATAATTGTAGATCAGGTGTGATTTTAGGAGAAACTATAATAAGAAAAATAAACATAGCAAAGTAGCAGTACAACAGCCTGTGACGAATTTGACTTACTTATTTTGTTCCACAAATCAACAGTGTGTTTTCGGGCAATAAGAATAATATATGTAATATGTAACAGTTTGATGAGCTTTATTTCTTTTTTCGTACAGTTAAAAAAATTAGAATTTATTGAATTCATCAATACATTGAATACAGGTACCAATCCTTCAGAATGATTGCTTCTTGCTAAGATTGGTAATCTTTACCTTTAGCAGTTTGTAAATTAGAGAGTGACGAACAAACTGACACTGAACACCCTGGTCATTTAGGAGAGAAAGCCGGGACACTCAGTAAAGATTCACAAGGAGAGGTAAAGAAATGTTATGACTATGTAAGAAGCTGCTACAACTTAAGATAATGATGGATAAGAAAGGCGAATGGCGTCTGAAAAGGAACTTCAAGGAAAGATAGGCGATTGTTTTCTTCCTGATGAACTCGATGATTTGTTATTATACTTTGAAATGATCAAGAAAATACTAAACAGTTTTCATACCAAATCGAAAACAGAAAAGTAATACATCTAGAGTTATAGTCTATATATATGGTGGCTGAGTTGTCTACTCAAGATTTTTTACCTTGACTTGAACTATCACATGGTTAAGTGATGGGTTTATTCTAAAAAACTGGTCTTTTAGTGTCTAATAATAAAACACCGATTGAGCTTGATCAAGAGGAACTCAGTTAGCTGAAGAAGGATGGCCAATAGATACATCTTTTTTCTGTGGGTACAATTTTGGCCAGAATTGTCGGACTTGACTATCTTTCGTTATCCTTAATGAGTAAATGATCTTAACAGTATCTTTTATCGTCATGACAGATCTTCATTTACTTCTGAAGAAATAAGACGTATTTACTGATGCTAATATTTATTATCAAAAGTGTTAATAGAATCAAATTTTATTAAATTTTTATATTACCATGTTTACCAAGATGTCTTTTAACTTCTAAGGTGTTGGCTGAAAATCTGCTGAATGAAGATTTATTCTTCTGATTTTTCCATTTCGAAATAGTACAACATTATGACAAACCAGTTCGTCATCAACTTGACACACCTAATCCTACTTTTATTCTAAAACTAATTCACTTTTATGGTCGAATTTTTCCAAGCTTCTAATTCTCTGCAAATTGCAGTGAACTCTTCTGGCTATTCATGATGTATACGAACTCACTTGAAGTAAATATATAGTAGAGACGGTTATTCTACCAATATACCACTTCTCAGTGCTTCAGTGAGAGACAATTGTCAACCACAGTACAAATCTTGAATTCATCTAGTCCAACCTACCTCAGTTTATATATTTATTAGTCTAACTATTTATCTGAGAGTGATCCAAACCAACTGTTTATCTTTATATTCATAGTCAACAGACTTTTGACAGTTACTAAGAAAAGAAACAAAGCTATTCAAGTTGATTTATCTCTACCTGATGATAAAATTGATTTCTCTGGCGATAATGAGCAGAATGATAACATTCTGATCATTTGGCTTCAAAATCCGCTAGTGTCTCATCTTTTTGTTGTTGTTTGATCTCTTTACACAATCTTAGAAGCTGACAACAATTCAATAAATCACAACGATTTCAGACATCTATTTACGATGTTACTTTATATTTTTGTACCTAAATTCAGCTCATTTCCATCACGGAAAATTTAAGTCAGCTTCTTCCTCTGTATGAATCACCTGTTACATCACAGAGGTTATTTACATAAACGTTAAAATACTCTCCGATCTGCTCTTCTTCTTGTGAATTATTATTTGTGATATTTCAACTTTTCCATTTATTCGTGTTTTTTTTTAATTCATTTATTGGTTCATACCATTATTAATCCACCTTTTCTTCATTTTGTTTTGTACTTGTTATTATTCGCTTGGCGCAGATAGTCTAGTTGCTTTGCGCCAAAATTCGTCAAGAACCAACCAATCGCTTGGTTTCTTATCAAATTTCTCATTTTCCATGGATGAAGAAGGAAATATTATTTCTATGTATCTCGAGATTTCTACTGAACTTTTACCACTATAAAGTAACTAAATTCAGTATCAACATTCCATTGTATGCAAATACTACACCACTATACATCTTTAATTTTTACAGAATCATACATTTTTCTGAAGTTCTAACTCGAAACAAACTAAATTCTTTGGATGTCGACCCTAGGCGTCCCTTCTTATAGCATGATTCAGTGGAAAAAACTGTTTCGTGGGATAATTGCATATTGTCCATATTACTTCTTGCATGTAGGACTGTTCTATGATTTCAAATTCGATGACGAGGAACCCACTTTGAGACTAATAATAGTTGGATGATGAATTACCTGATGATGACAAAACCTTGTCGAAACGTTGTACATTTGCTGTTATGTTAAACTTATATTAAAGTTTTTCTTCATTACTCATTCAAGCCATCTCCAACCATTATTGCTCTATGATTTGTCACATGAAACAAAGCTACTTCGAGACAATTGTGAGATCATTTTGAGATGTGTGTCAGCTAAAGAAAGAAAATGTGACTTGTGAGAGCAGTTTTCGTGATTTTAGGCATAACTAGTTGTAAAGTGGTTGCGGCGATCATCTTGATGATCGAGTGTGCCTCTATTTTCTTCACTTCCAGTTAAGCAATCAAATCGTTTTACTTTAGTTTACTTTCAAGGAAATTTTATTTTCACCTTCATTCAATAAATACACCAACTTTAATTTACTTTTATTTAAATATGGTTCAATTTGTTATTTTCTTTATCTGTTTATTTCATTTAAACCTAACAGAATTTAATCTCCACGATCAGCCATTGTGACTGTTTTTTATTTTCCTGTCATATTGTAAATAAAGTTTATTTCCATTTAATTTCACATCTTTTCTTGTCTGTAATTCCATTGCAGCAAATCACTACACCCGTTCTGTCTCATACTAATTCTGTGAGTCTACTGTTGTTGTGACGATCAACTAGCTATGTATTTGGTTGACTGATGGAATGGCAAATCCTATGAACGCTTCATTTTGAAACCCAGTCTCTAACACCGTACCGTCCTTAGCTATTAATGGGACCTCACATTACAAGTTCGTCTTCAGTTCATCCTTGATCATTATCTGTACTAAAATTGATATCTCTGGAGTTTTTACTCCTATGTATAGGGCTAATAGAAATTGTTTACATGTACAGTCTACTTCCAAGTAAGACTCTGCTTCATTCATGGCCCATCAGCCACTAGCGAGCCAAAATTGGCTAGGTAACTGAAATTTAAACACGGCAAAACTGTAGGGTTAAGACAAAATATATTTATTTACTATTTATTTCACTGAAGTAACTCAGCATCACCAAACAAACGAATTACTACAGGATGTTACCTGCTAAGTATGTGAAATAATAATGGAAAAGTAACGCTCAGTTGTGACCTTTATGTGTTTTTCTTTTATCTCTACGTACCTATCATAAAACAGCAATACCATAAATTCCTGAAGGCTAATGTAATTTCAAGCAAATGTACCGAAATTTCAAGTCTGGACTAAACTTTTCAAGGTAGACGTTTTTTAAATTAATCTATAACGCACACTTTAAATAAAGCGTTAAGAATATTATTTTGTTGCATTTCTTTAATTAATGAAATAATAATAAAATAAAGAGTAATGATTAAGTTATATAACTTGTTATTAATCCAATAAGTTGTAATGTTAAACAATAAGTAAATGTCACGCTAATTCTCTTTATATATTTTGAACTTTTGAGCAATCGGAAACTTCTGAAAGTAGATTTAGCTGAATCACCATAGATTTTAAGTAAACACATTACTTAATTGAAGTTTCAGTAAACTGTTTTATTTAGTTTTGATACATTCTTGAAAATGAGATATCCATTAAAGATATCCGTATAAAAGTAAAAACAAAAATTGTTTGTTTGTCTTTTGGACCAATCTCAACCAAACATGGTAGAATGATACAATGGACCAAAGGGTATGTCATAGAATGGTCTTTACTCAGCCACGCGCACAACAAAAATGTGGTTGTTTAGCTAATTATTCCACAGTCTTGAATGGATTTTTATTCCTAATAGAAACTTACCGCTTTCCCACCGGGGACAGAAATGATGTGATAAATAAACATTGAATTCATGATTTTAAATGTGCTAAAAGTTTTTTAAACTTAGTTTTTAGGTAAAGAATAAAGATACATTTTGGATAGAATAACGAGTTTCAGTTACTTGTGACCATTTAGAGGCGATACTTTTATATAGTTATAAAATTTTGTAAAATCCCAAACGATTTTACCTAATATAAAGTTTATATGTATATATATGTATATGCTGTATCAAGTTCTATGCTCATAAATTTTGGGAATTTTACGAATATCCTTGTTGAAAAATTTTGGAAATGATGATTATTACAACTTAAGATATATACTTACCAAGAATGTTTCAGCATACAATTTTACAAGAATTTTTCATAATCTATTTTAATATAACGTGTTTATTCAGATGTTTCAATATAATATCATCTGTGTAAAGACGTAATAGGATAATTTTTAAACCAGTATTTAACATTTAGAAACATACTGGTATCAAACTATCCTACAGATAATTATTAATATTATTCTGTTCTTTTACTAAACGAAATTTTGCGAGGAAATAATAAAAAGAAAACTACTACTTAGCAGTGAGTTTAGTTTATAAGCATATATTATTTCCATGTTTCATAAAAAAGTTTCATTTATAGTCACTAGATGGCAGTACAAATTGTTCTTATATAACGACCATTTGTGACTTTTCATTCACAAACATGATACCTGCCAAAACACTTTCAGCAAAAATAAATAAAAATAACCCAAACTAATATTTATTGTATCAAGAAGATCAAGTATTTATGCAACTGACAGATCTGTGTACATCTTATTGATGTTTGAGTTTAAAAACATCAGTTTCTTAATTAACAAAACAATACATTATATCGTGGTCTACTTTACTTCAAATTTTCAGTGTGGTCGAGCCTGGTATAGCATTTTATGGCCTTGGATCTTATGATGTCCTTCCTATTAATCGACATGACTTTAGCATGTGGTAGGTTCGAATGTATGCACATACATTGAGTTGGGGTGAAGTTGGAAGGGTGGGTTTTGTAAATATCCCCTTAACGTCAGTCTAGCACTCCAGGGTACTTGAACCATCATGGAGGAAGCATTCCATCTTCACTGGTCCCCAATGTAATCCAAAATTAGAGAAACTCACAAAACTGATATTATATTAACAATATATATTACTATTAAATTATAAAATTATAACAAATGTTTATTTATCAACCTACTTCAATAAAAACTGTTTAAAATAAAGAAAGGAAACAAGTAATAATAATAAAAAATTCTGCAAAACATTAAGCATGATGTGGGGATGGCAATGCCAGAAAGTACAGAAACAAGATAAGGATGAATACATAAAACCATACAAAAATCCTTACATAAGTAGCCAATGAGTACTCAGTCAATCGTACAAGCTTATGGTTATTAGCCACTGTAAGACTGAATAACACTATCAACTTAAATGCATTTATTCAAACCTGAATTCATGCAATTGACAGGAATTCAACTTTTAGTTGTGATAAAAGTTGTTCTTGGAAAGATTTGACTAATTATGTAGTGATATTTTATAGGGTCTTGTGTATTTATCCATACTTTGTTTCTGTACTTTTGGGCATTGCTATCCCTACATCATACTTAATTTCTGCAAAAGTTTTTCATTATTTGTAGTTATTTTCGTATATTTATCTTTTTTACGAATTAATGTTCAAAATATAAAGTTCTCAGTGTTAGCAATACACGAGATTCTTCAGCGAAATGAAAAGTTAAATAAAATAATTTTAGAGTTGGGAATTAATTATCTTTGTATTCCAGTGGGGCAGTGGTAAGTCTACTGACTTATAACTCTAAAATCCTTGGTTTGATTCAGCGCTGTGAATACAGCAGATAACTCAATGTGGATTTGTTCTCAAACAAATAATTATCTAAGATTACTACAATTATAGTAGAAACTAGCTTACGTGTGGTTTAAATAGTTTCTTTTATTTTAGTTAACTTTTAAGAGTTTGTTATTTTTAAACAATATAGTCTAAGTATTAAGTAAAAAAATATTATTTTGAATGATAACATGATGTTTCGCAGTTTTATCATATTCTGTTCTACACCTCTCACTCAATAATTTCATCAAGACCCAAAATTTGTATCGTGTATATATGGTAAAGATAGTACCGCCGTCCCTCATTTAGAGATATTAATAACAAGGAAGGTAGCTAATAACCAGCAACCACCATCCACGCTAAGCGATCGACTGTCACTTTAATAATGCCTCCACATCTTAAAGTGCGAGGAATATTTTAGAGTATCACACAGATTCGAACCCAGATCGTCACCTCCGAAATACAGAGCCCTACAGCAGGGCCAATCAAGGTCCAAAAACACTTACCCCTACTAAGAAGCATATATCGAAACCAAAATTAGTAAATTCAAAAAAAGATATAACAACTACCAGTCATATCGTGACAGTTCTAATTAATAATCAAAACACAAAAATTTTCGGAAATATTATTATATAAAGGAATATTTAAACTTTTTTACTAATAAATATTTCACTCAATATAACGGAATATTGTCACTGTTCTGTTGTTCAGAATTTCATTCAACATTATATCAACATAATTGGAGGCTGACTTAAGAAACACCCTAGACATAGGATAAAATTGGTACAGGCCTGTGATGACGTTAAAGTGAATAGTGAGTTTGTATATCACTACGCCACCTGTAGTTAACGAAAGTACCAGATTGTCATTACATACTTGTCGGTCAACGATATCGGTAAGATACTGTTACAAGCATGGCGGAAACTGGCAATGTTCAAGCTAAGATCCCAATTGCAGATGGCAATAATGATGATCAGGCTAAAGATGAACAACCTTCTCCCCAAAAGAAAATTAGAGCGCTGGTTCTCTCTGGTTTTGGCGGCTTGAAATCCGTAAAAATAATGGAGAGATTAGAACCAACAGTAGGGAAGGAAGAAGTACTGATTCGAGTGAAGGCAAGGCAAGTCACTATAGTAATTAGTATATTCATTCAATATTTTTTGATTAACTCTCCTATAATTAATATTTTTATGAATACTTAAAGTTTTTAGAATGATTTATTCCAAATAAAACTTTCAGTTTATTTGTTATTTGAAGTTATAGTTACAATTTACTTTTGATTCCAAGTCTCCTTAGAGTAGTTATTATTTTCAATCAAAATATCATATAAAGAATTAAACTTTATAACATTAATTAACAAGTTGTTTTTATCAAACAGTCATACACTGTTTCTAATGGATGTTGACAAAGATCCATCTACAGTAGTAATAGCATATTGTAAAGGGTTTTATCTTATTCACAGTCTCGAAGACTATTTAAGTTGGTAGTGTGGGCTATAGAAAGGTGTATTCTAATTGATTTTTGACAGAAATCTAACCGGAAACTAAGTCGTTATATTTTGAAGTTTGTTTCACGTGATTAATAGAAAATTTGGTTAAATGTTTATATGTCTAGTTTTACTAGGCTACAGCGTTGATCTGACATATGGTAAAAAATCAATGTATTAATCCATAGGTAAAGTATAAATGTAACTTTAATAAAGTCGAATATACACACAATTCAGAACAAAGATAGGCCAAATTTAAAAATATTGTGGAATTGTAAGACTGAAAACGTCAAATCAATAACTGTCGTTTGAACTAAAGCTCAGCTTTATTTTATCTTTGTTATCAAAGCACAAAAGAAAGATAACTGAGATGATGTCATAAAATGCTCACACCAGTTGTCATTCATTGAAATGTTTCTATGTTGAATTATAAATCTAAACTACAAAAGTTAAACAAAGACTATTATTTCAACATATGTATGTAAATATCTTGAACCGTAATATAATAAGAGCTGTGATAGTTTATATACACTTTGCATACGACGAAGCATACATGATGGCGAATAGAAGACTTTATATTTAAAATACCAAGATATTAGTTCCGTCGAACGTGATTTTGATGTCAAATGCTAGTTGTGAAATGTCAGAGGTTTCTTGCTCAACAGAAACTTTATTCGTACTGATTGCGCCTGCGCCATATAACCCAGCTGAACGACATATTTTTTAGTATTATGTTATGAACATCATGTGTGTGTTTTTTAAAGCTCAAATGCTTTGGTGGAATAAGTGGGACATTTTTTGAAATACATATATATCTTCTAAGTAATTTGATTTGTTTAATGCAATGATAATGTCTGACCATCCCTTTCTTCCCCAGTATTGTTATCACTGTTCAGGGGAATAGCTAAATATTCTTTATAGTTTTTTTTATTTTATTTTCGTGTAAGTATAAACAATTATCTTATAATCCCATAAGTTGAGGTTTTATGGGTACTCTCCTTGAAAAATGTGAAAATTTGGATGCTCTGATATTTATTACTGGTGTTACGTCTCTGGTCGTTTGTTAATTTCCCGTAAAAATTATTCCCGAAGAA